AGATACACACACACACAGGAGGTACCGCAGGCAAGATGCACACACAAGAGGTACGCGCAATGCGGGAGGCGGGAGGCGGGAGAAGGAGAAGACGCGACCGCAGTGCTCTATTCACAACGAACGCCCAACCAGGGAGGGTTTGGAACAATACACTGTCAACCAGCACATTACTATTGTTACAGCCGCAACCAGAGATGCTGCTGCTAACTAGGACGCCTCAGCCAGAGATGCTCTGGCAACGCTTCGTGCAAACCACACGAAGTACTCAGAACACTCTTACGTGGGCCTGCTGGCAAGTCAGGACGCTGGGCCACTGCTTCGCTGTAGATCTGGGAGCCCGAAATGGGCACGATGAACATGGGCACGATGCCCCACAACACATGTGGTCCAAAACCAGCAGCGGCCGCTGTTGGGCAGACGGCCTTCAGTCTCAAATGGACAAGGCCCGCGGCGGCGCGGACAGCGAGCCCTGCCCAAAGTGAAGACGAACCGCTGTCGGTCTTTGTACCAATTCCTTCCGTACACGCTGGTCGGAAGAAGTGTGTAGAAACATGCAGCAGGAAGGCCCTGGAAATAGAGTGGGCTTCCGCCAGCCCCCTGAAGGGGATGGAAGAAGGAAAACCACCCGACTCTTGGAGAAGGAAGGCGCCTAAAGTAGATTGGAAGCCTGGAATCCAAAAATACCTACTTTCAACGACCGATGGTTGAGCAGGGACTGACCGTCCCGGCATTCCTGTAGTCCTACAACGAATGTTCTTAGAACCCAAACATGCTCTAAGAACCCGGATAATGTTCTTAGAGCATTTGCCCGATGCGTTAAAACAAGACAGTCTCAACCAGAAAAATTCTAAGATCACTTCGTGCAAACCACCACAGGTTCTCAGAACATTGCTTGGTAGGCATACAGGCACGCCAAGACGCTTCGCCACTGCTTGACCTTTCGTCGAGTCGGGACGGACCGTCCCGGCATTCCTATCCTCCTACCATGACATGTTCTCAGAACCCACACACGTTCTAAGAACAGAAACAAGGCTCTCAGAAGATCAGCCCGAGGGCATAAAACAAGACAGATTCCGCCAGATCTGTTCGAAGAACCTCTCTAGGAGGGCACCAACTATACACCAACACCGATCCTGGCCAGGATCACCCTGGGCCCAGGATCGGTGTATACGCCCTCCTGCCTTGCGCAATCCTGGGCCAGGATCGGTGTTGGTGTATAGTTGGTGCCCTCCGACTCTCGCGCACACCTCGACAAGCGCTCTCAGAAACATCGCTTGGCAGGCCTACGGGCACGCCGGGACGCCTCGCCACTGCTCGACCTTTTTCGATCGCCCCGAGCTGCAAACGGAGGCGCTCGGGGACCTGCTGACACGGGCCAATCCAGACCCGGGTCAGTGAAGGGGCCCCAGGACACACAAATAAATACACACAAATAAAAACATTGCCCATATTTTCCCATATTTTCTGGGTTTCTGTCTTCCCCCCCACTTCCCATATTTTCCCATATTTTCTGGGGAGTCGAGGATTAATTGTGTATGTGTGTTTCTTTTCCTCCTGAGTCAGTCAGGCCTTGCAGAACCCTGCAGGATCCTGCACCCAAACCGGGGTCAACGCGAAGGGTCCTGCACGCCCACTGCAGGATCCCGCATCCTCCAGACCCGGGTCAGTGCGACCCTGGCCCTGCAGGATCCTGCAAGAAGATCCGGCGCTCTGGCTGACCCCCGCTTGCATGGACCCCCGTCTCCAGGCTCCCGGGGCGCCCCAAAAGGGCGAGAGGCCGGCCTTCTCCGCCTGCTCCAGGTGGGCCCTCGCCTCCCCCGCGGCCCCCGCCATCGCCCGCCTGCGCGGCGGGGGCGCCCCGCGGCCCGCTCGCCCGAGGGCGAGGCGCCGAGCACAGAGGCCTCCCTCCCTCCGCCTCCCTCCTCCCTCCCTCCTCTCCCTCCTCTCCATCTTCCCTCCTCTCCCTCCCTCCTTCTCCCTCCCTCCCTCCTCTCCTCTCCCTCCCTCCCTCCTCTCCCTCCTCTCCCTCCTCCCTCCTCTCCCTCCCCTCCCTCCCTCCCTCCTCTCCTCTCCTCTCCCTCCTCTCCTCTCCCTCCCTCCCTGCTCTCTCCCTTACTCCCTCCCTCCCCAGCTTGGGAAGGAGGATCGCGCCGCATCGCCGATGCATCGTCGATGCATCGGCGACGCACTGGCCACGCACTGGCGCCGTCAGCGTGGACACAAGCCGGGCTCCCCATCGAGCCGCATCGGCGAGACAGATCGGCGGTGCGGCGCGATCTTCCGACCCCACCTGCTCGGGCCCCCTGTGGGAGGCCTGGAGAGCGACCAGGTGGCGGCAGAAACCCAGGACGAGGTCAGAGCAACGAGGCCGAGCAACGCGAAGGGACGACGGAAAAAACGGTCCAAATGGGCTCCGCGCGCAGTCCGACCAGGATGCTGCGGGCCAAATCTACACCGGCGGGGGATGGAGGAACATCGTGCAGATCCGTGCTGGGCCTGTTTTCCACCACCACCACCACCACCACCACCACCACCACCACCACCACCACCTTAAGTTGGAGGGGGAGGGGGCCCTCCTCCTCCGCCTCCTCCTCATCTTCTTCGTCCTCCTCCTCCTCGTCCTCCTACTCATCCTCCTCCTCCCCTCCAACTCATGGTGGGGGTGGTGGAAAACAGGCCATCAATCCGCAATCATGTCTTCAGCACGCGGTGGCGGAATGCCCCCAGGCTCAGACAAGATGCGGGTGTCAGAGGCCAGGCGGCCCTGCGCCGCGGCTCACGCGGGCCGCCAGCGTGGCTCACCGCGCGGAGCAGGGGGGCGCTCACGCGCGACGCTCACGCGGGAAGCTGCCGCGCGAACAGCTGCGCAGCCGAAGCCGTCATCAACGTCCGCGGAAATTTACGACCTACCAAACCACCCAAACCCAACCTCAACATCTGCGCAGTCGAAGACGTTATTAATATTCGCGGAGATTGACTACGTACCAAACCACCCGAAGACTCGCATTTCGTCAGAATTTCGGGGTTTTTTTTGGGGGGGGGGGGGTACGGGCTTCATGCGTGGTTTTGTTGCAATGTTCCCCGACCCCCCTCCCCACTGGAAATGGAGGACACATCGCGGCCTTCGGGTTGGGTTGGGGTGGTTTGGGTGGGCGGTGAGAAATGGTAGGACAACCTTTGCGGGGTCGAAATCCACTACAAAACACGCACAACAAGGAAGCGACGAGATGCGTCGAGGTAGACTCCTCCGTCAAGCAGACTCTCGCTGACAACACCAGAGACACCGAAAGGCTCCGAACTTTTCCGCATGTCGATGATCCTCGGGAACTGGCCCTCCGACGCCCTTCGCTACGACGCAGGTGGTGTACAACGGCGGACAGCACGGGCCGAACGGGGTAAGCACGCATTGGGCTAACACGCTCCTTAAAGATCGCTCATTGGGCTACCACGCTCCCTAAAAATCGCTGGACATTGTCCCAAGATGCGTGCTGGAAGCGGACTGCCGCGGTGCGGCCTCACCCGTGCTGCTCTGAACACCGCCACCTCTCGATACCGACCCGCCACGCGGCCGACCCGCGACCCACCACGCTGCCACGCGTGCGACCCCCGCGCAAACCCTCCGCGCCCACCGACGGCGGAGACCCGTGCTCTGAGTCGGATGGGGCTCGCGCCGCGGGCGGGCAGAACGAGGAGCGCCTCGGGTGGAGCCCCCCCCCCCCCCGCAAGGCATCTGCCGACCTTGCCCTCCTCCTGTGTCTACTCCTCCTCCCCCTCCTCCCCCTCCGCCTCCTCCTCCTCCTCCCCTCCTACTCCTTCTCCTCATCCTTCTCCTCCTCCTCCTCCTCCTACTCCTCCTCCTCCTCCTCCTCCTCCTCCTCCTCCTCCTCCTCCTCCTCCTCCTCCTCCTCCTCCTCCTCCTCCTCCTCCTCCTCCTCCCCCTCCCCATCCTCCTCCTCCTCCTCCTCCTCGTCCTCCCCCTCAACTCAAGACCGAATTGCCCCCGCAGGGAACGCAACTCGGCACCACCACCACCACCACCATCGCGAGGGGCCAGCGGCGAGCCGCTGCCGGCCTCCTGTTGGTCCCCTCCCCACCCACTTGTGGAAGCCCGCTCGAGATATAACCCCAGGAAGCATTTAAGAACCCCCCCGGCGATATCTTAGCACCGCATTTTTATTCGATATTCCGAGGGGCCGAAATAACCGCACGATAGGTTTAGCACCCGGACACACAACAAATTCGCGGAGGCCTGAGGAGGAGGATGAGGAGGAGGAGGAGGAGGAGGAGGAGGGCTCCTGGTGCCAGGTAACGCTTCCAGGGTGCGGAAGGGTTATCGATTTGCCGGAAGGGGGGGGGGGGGGTCTTAAATGCTTCCTGGGGTTATCCACTCTCCAACTCTGGGATGGGGGAACCAAAACTTGCCGATACCGCTACTCCCCAGACCTCTCCGGAGATGCGCTCTGACTCGGATTTCGAGGCGAAGCCGGTGGTGGCAAAGAGAGCCTCCGAGAAGGCCGAAACGAGGGAGCACGGGCGAAAGGCAGGGGTGTCGGTACATTTTCTGGCTCCGAGGGGAGGCATTACGAGCCCCCTGCCTGGAGATGGCCCACTATAGTGGTGGTGGCGCAGCTGCCCCCACCCTCCCACGCGGGAGGGACGCCGGAGGCCGGAGCGGACCAGCCGCAGCCTTGCCAGCATGGGCCCGCGCGTCACGGGAGGGGGGCCCAGGGCTGAAGGGGCCCGCCGCCTCATCTCTCGAGGCTTCTGTCTCTCGGGGTTTTGCTGACCTGGTTTCGTCCAAGCCCCAGTCGTCGGGCTTTGCAGGATCCTGGAAGGTCCTGCAGGACCCTGCAGGATCCTGCACCCAAAGCTGGGTCAGTGCGACCCTGGATCTGCAGGATCCTTCAAGCTCTGGCGCTATGAGTGACCCTCGTTTGCAGTGATCCCCGTCTCTTGAGCCCCGAGTCCCGAGTGCAGCCACCTCACCGGAGGTTCCCCGCTAGCAGGGGCACCGCCCTTGACACCCAGAGATGTCATCTTAAGAGGTTCACGGCCCCAAAAATCCCGACCCCTTCCCCAGGGATTATTGGCGGCCCAGGCCCATTTCGCATGGCCCCAGGATCCGAGGACGGACCCCGGAGGCCGAAAGGAAGGCAAAACGCCGTGATCAAAAAAACCGTGCCGTCGAAGATCTGGGTCAGGAGAGCCCAGATTCGAATCGGTAAGTCCGATCTGCAATCGGCATAAGTCGGATCGGCGGAAATCGGCAGCCGAGTCGGGACAAGTCGAATCGGCGGACATCGCCAGGCCAATGTGCCTCCACTGAGAACTCGGATCCCAAATCGGCATCCCGAGTCGAATCGAATCGGAATTCGGAAGCCATCGAAATCGATCGAAGCGAATCGAAACGAGCCCTGCCTGGGGTCCCGATTGGAGGCGGCGGGCGTTGGCGAGCGCGTCGCCCACCGCGGGCGCCCAGGATCGGTGGGCACACGAGTTCGTCTTCGTCTGCCTCGTCGTCATTCTCCTCCGCCTCCTCCTCCTCCTCCTCCTCCTCTTTCTCCTCCGCCCTCCTCCTCCTCCTCCTCCTCCGCCTCCTCCTCCTCCGACTCATCCGGCTCCACCCCCCCTCCTCCTCCTCCTCCTCCTCCTCCTCCTCCTCCTCCTCCTCCTCCGACTCCGACTCCGACTCCGACTCCGACTCCTCCTCCTCCTCCTCCTCCTCCTCCGCCCTCCTCCTCCTCCCTCGCCTCCCTCCTCCTCCTCCGACTCCTCCTCAACCGACTCCTCCTCCGCCTGCTCCTCCTCCTCCTCCTCCTCCGACTCCTCCGCCTCCTCCTCCTCCTCCTCCTCCTCCTCCTCCTCCTCCTCCTCCTCCTCCTCCATTGACCTTCTCAACACATCGGAGGTCTGCGATGGCTGCCTCGGCCCCCAGACAATGCCTGGAGCGCGTTCTGGCCAGACTTTCGAGGCGGATCCAGCCGTGGCGACGAGAAGCCGTGGCTGGAGGCTCCAGACGACCCAGCGGCTAAACACCTCGGTCTGCCGCTGAATGGAGACACGACGACGGACGCCGCGCGGCGGCGACGAAAACGCGCGTCTGGTGTCCGATGAGAGCCTGCGTGGTCAGACAGAGTCAGCAAGAGGAAAAAATAGGGTGCGTGAGGATAAATCGAGAAATTATGTGATCTAGCGCTCTGCATGATATTTCGGGTAAAATGTCTGATCCGCTCTGGAACGGATCCTCGTCACAGCCCCGCCCGACGGGGCCCCCGGCGCTGTCCGATTTGGGCCTGACTTGGGCTGGATTTGGAACGCATTGGGCCCGGATCCGCCCCTCCATGAGGGGGACGAGGAGAACGAGTAGGGGAGGGGGGAAGAAGAAGGGCCAGAATGAGCAGAAGGAGGGGCCAAATGCTGACCACTTGCAGAAGGAGCTGACTTCCAGGCAAGAAGGGGGGCGCTTTCAAGAGGGGGGCACAAATCATCGCCGGCCGCACGTGCGCGGCCCAGGGGGGGCCGCGGACGTATTGCAAGCAGAAGAGGCGGCGTGAAATCTGCGGAGATATCCTGGCCACCGCCACGATATCCCTCCCTGGCCACCGCCACGACATCCCCCCCCAATCATCACCCTCTCTTAAGGCGGCGCGCCCCGGGGGGGAAGTGAGAAGGGACTGGCCTTTTCTGATTGCTCGATTGCTCGGAAGTCCCTCGGCCTGCTGAAAAGACTCCTGGGCCTTCCCCGAAGACACAAACAAATCTCTCAAAGGCGCGAGGGTTCCTGAGAAGCTCCGCCGCCTTTTGACAAGGCCTTCTGCTTCTCATTTCCCCCCTCGCTCCCGCCGACTCTTGGCTTAGGGCACCCGTGATCGAACATTCTGGGATCTACTGACCCGGCTCATTCTAGACATGGGTAAGTCAGGCGCTGCAGGATCCTACAACATCCTGCAGGACCCTGCAGGATCCTGCACCCAAGCCCGGGCCAATGCAGCCCTGGCTCTGCAAGATCCTGCAAGATCTGACCCTCTGACTGACATCCGTTTGCATTGACCCCCATCCATGAACAAACGCGTTCCACAACTCGCAAAGTAACTACTCGCAAGTGGCCTGGATCCGCCGCGCGGGGGAGTTACGATCCATTAGCTACGCCAAGGCTATCATGTGTTTTCGGACGTTTGCGATTGGACACTATGCGAGTAGTGGACAGCGCTCGGTGAGGGTCGTTGTCGTTATGTCGTTGTCGTCGTCGTCGTCGGCGTCGTCGTCGTCGGCGTCGGCGTCGTCTGCATCGTCGTCGTCGTAGTTGTCGTCGTCGTCGGCATCGTCGTCGTAGGCGTCGTCGTCGTCGTCTTCTGGAACCGGAGGTGTCCCAAACGTGCGGCCTCCCCGGTGGCCAGGGGGCGCGCCTGCGCGAGGCGCCGCGGCGGTCAGCGGCTCGCCGACGGGGGCGGCCCGCGCGCGCGCGGCGCGGGCGCGGGCAGAGCCCTCCGCGGCAGGCCCGTCGGGCCGTCCGCGCGCTGCCGCGCGCGGGAACCCCTCGGCGGCGAGCGAGGGGGGGTAAACTTTCGGCTCGAGGTCCGAGGTTTTCTGACGTTGTCGTTGTTTCTCTATGGATTTCCAGCCTCGGGATGGTTACTATCAGCTGCGCCTCGCCGAGGGCGTTCTGGGGGTGCCCGAAGCGTCCCGGACGGCCGTTCGAGACACGAAACATGACCCCAAAACCAAATTCGACGGCGCGCCGTGGGGGGACGTGAACTGGAAAAGGCTATTTCAAAAAAGCGGCGGGACTTCTCAGAGGCTTGGGCCATCTTGGGTTCCTGGAAACCCGCCTTGGAACCTTCTTGGCCCGCATGGGGGCCCACTTGGGGGCGTGCGGGGCCGCCTTGGGCCCATTTTGGCGACCTCGTGGGCCGACGTGGGGGGGGGGGTCTCCGGGGGCGGCCCAGCGGCTCCCGAGTGCCATCGTGTCGGTGCCGAAATGTCGCCTGGGAAAACCATTTTGGGCCCCTCTTGGCCCGTGTGGGAATCCTCTTGGAGGCGTATCGGGCCGCCTGGGAACCATTTTGAAGTTCCGTGGGCCGTCTTGGCATATCTGAACATCGATAACCTGAAAATGCTGAAAACCATGGAATACATCAGGAACTTAATAGTTTCTGGCCTCTCGGAATCTTTTTTGGAGTGTTTTTCTGGTCCTTGGGGGCGGCCTGGCGCCTCCTCACTGCCGATTGGTCGGTGCTGGGACCATTTCGAGCGTCCTGCGGTCGGTTCCGAGCGGCTCCGGACGCCCAGGAATGGCCTGGGGGGGGCATTTTGGATTCCTCGTGGCCCGTCTGGGTAGAAGCCATGGAATAACACATGGAAGCCACAATTTGCAATCTCTCGGGTTTTTGGGGGGGCGTTCTTCTGGATCTCTTGGGCCGGCTCGGCGCCTCCTGAAAGCCACGTGGACGGTGACGAGACCGTCTTGGGCATCTATGAAACGTGTGTTGGCGGTCTCGGGCGTCCGGGAGTCGGCCAGGGGAACCGTAGGGGGGGCGGGGGCCAGAATGCACAACTGGGGCAGCGGTCCAGGGCCCTGAGGCCGTGATCTCCCTGATGTGTGACAGATACGGAGATGATGCCAGCTTGTGATTAACAAAGACATGGGGGGGCACGTGATCTAATCACTGGCTCCTCTGCTCGGGCGAACCGTGGGGGGGGGGGGGGAGCGCCCGCCAAATTGTCACAAACTGCGGCGGCGCCAGTGAGTGGCGCCGACGCCCGGCCGACTGCAAGAGGGCGACAGGCGCGACACAAGAGGCGCCGCTTCAGCGGAAAGGGACAGCAACGCCTTCGATGTAACGGCGAAGTTGGGCCAATATGGCGAATGACAGGAAACAACAGAAGGCGGGGGAAAGAGGCGTCTCGGCTGGCGGGCGGTGCGGACATGGCTACAAACACAAAGGGAAACTGAGGGGGGAGCGGAAGAAGCAGGCGGAAAGGGCTCCTCCTTCTCCTTCTCCCCCCCCCTCCACTACAACGTTTCACGACGACGCCGGCGACGACGAGGACAGGGACGACGATAACGACGAGGACGACGACGACGACGACGCACTGTGGATGCGCCATGGGGGCGGGGAGGGTGCTGGATAGGCCCAGCCCGCTGCAGTCGACGACGACGACGAAAATGCCTGGCTCAAAAGAATGGAATCGCCGGGACCCCAGGTCTGCAGCGCGACTGGTCTCGATCCGCTCGGGGCCCCCCCGACCCTGCTCGGGGCCCCCGACGGTGCGCGGTGCGACGGGGCCCCCCCCCCCAAGCGTGCCCGGGGCGCCCACCGTGCTCTCGGGGCGCCCGCCCGGGAGGCCCGTTCCCCCTGCTCGCCATCGCTCGGACGTCCATTCCCCGTGCGATTCCTTTCTTTCGCGCGTGCATTCTTCGCTAAATGATCAAAGATGCTCCCCGATGGTCCTCGCCGAGAAGAATTCACACGTCCGAGCAATGCCAAGCCTGAGGCACGGTGCGAATTGGCCCCCCCCACTGGCTGCCGGCCTGGTGACCTACAGCGAGCGGTTCACAGCATGAACCGCGCGCGACACCAGTGAAGGGGAAGGGCGCGTCGCCGGCATCGCTTGGCACGGCTGGGAATTGCTTGGCATGGCTTGGCTTGGCATGGCTTGGCATGGCTTGGAATGGCATTGCTTAGCATTGCTTGGCAATGCTTGGCATTGCTTCGGGCAACCGATGGGACGGTGAACCAGAGGAACCCAGGGAACCCGAGGAATCCGGAGAACCCAGGTAACCTGGGGAACCAACCCAGCGAACCCAAGAACCGGAACCCGAGGAACACGGGGAACCCGAGGAACCCAGAAAACCCGAGGAACCTCTGGGAAACGGGCAACGTAACAATAGGAGGCACCAGGGGCGGGGAATCCGAAGAACCAGAGGAATCTCTGGGGAATTGACAGACATTCCGAGGCACCAACCTTTAACCAAGTGCAACAAACCCCTTAGGCAAGCCTACTTGGGAAATTCTCTTTTGTAAGGAACACTTTCTCCGTTGGTGGGGGCGGAGGGCAGGCGGCAGGGGTAGCCGGGTAGCCGGATTGGTGCTGTGGCTGGTTTGGTCGAGTGGGCTTGGCTGACTTGTAGGTTGGGTGGTTTGGCTGGTTGTGCTGTCTGGTGTGCTGGCCAGGAGCTGGGCCAATTGGTTTCGAAACACCACACACATCCTGCACATGTGCTTCCATGAGCCTGGGCAAGCACGTGCCATTTGCACATGCATCCGCATACCCCAGAGAATCATGCACATCCACCAGTGCATTTCACTATGCACATACAGATGTATATTAGGGAATGACTCTCTTCTCCATGGCGGCAGATCACGCGTCCGTCTTCCCTCCTCCTCATCCTTCTCCTCCTCCTCCTTCCGGACTTGCGGACAGGAAGATGCAACCACTGTGCGCCGCGCGAGGTCTCGAGGATTTTCATAGTAGAAGGGAACAAAAGCAGATGAGAGCGATCACGAGTGTGGGAGAGACACGTGACTGGGGCCATTGGAGTCTGAGGCATCTGGTTGGGTCGGGTCGACCAACCTGTTGTCCCTCTTTTCAACTGTGATACCCCCTGAGGGCAAAGATACAGTCGGGGTGGATTGGAGAGGACACTCAAGAGGACACAAGACCCTTCCGATGGCCACATTGCCAGTGGAACGTAGAGGATATGGGTCGCGAAGCACAGGACACAAGGGTAGCCTTGTTTGGGCAGGGTCGACCTACTAATCAAACTCGACTGTATGGGGGCCTGGCTCGGGTGGGGGAGAGGGGAAACCGACCTGGACTTCGGGATGCACCGCTAACAGGTCGGCGACAGGCCCCCGATGGTGAAACCGCACGCTCCTGGGCGTGGGGGCTTTCGGGCCCGCCAGCATCCCCGCCTAGGCACCTGCCCCCTCACATCTGGCCATCGCTCGGACTTCCATCCCCCGTGCATCTTTCGATCTCCTGCGCGTGCAGTTTTTCGCGAAGATGCCCAGGATAATCCTCGATGGTCTTCGCCGACAAAAAAAGCGCCCACGTCCGAGCGACGCCAAGACACTGTCCCTCAAACGTTCGGGCCAGAGCTCGCGTCTCCGGCAGCGCCATCGGGACGACCTGGGCACCCCGGGAAAGCTCTGGAACGAGGCGCGGCCGCTGGAAGGCATCCGAGGCTGCAACGACGCGGAGAACCGACGACCACGTTCGAAAAACTCGAACCCTAGCCCCTCGAACTCTAAAGCTGCTCCTGACCTGCTCCTACTCTCAAGTCGGGCCTGTCCCCCTACAGGCCGATTTTGGACGAAAAACAAGAAATAGTCAAACAGTACCCGAAAGTATTCAAACATGGTTTTAAAAAGATTGTCCCCTGACTATTCTTGGACTATTTTTGAATATTCCCCCTGTAGAGGGACAGGCCCAACTTAATCCTACTCTCTTGCCTCGTCGCTGCCCCCATCGACCACACACCAGAGTGACCCTGGGTAAGAGTGACCTCTGGTGCGCGGCTACTTCGGGGCCGCGCGGAAACCAAACACAAGCGCGCGAGACGCTACTACCGCATCGCGCTCGGCGATCAAGGGGCCCCATTGGGCCCGCTTCATAAGGTCGCTCCGGCGAGAAGTCCCTGTTAAGTCTGCGGCAAGTTCGTGTCGTGCCGACCATGGCGTTGGTTCCTGACTCCGCGGGGATCGCTCAACCTCGAACGATCGGCCCTTCTCGAAACGTCAGATCGTTCAACATCGACCGGCTCTGGGGCCGCCGCCGAAGTTCACCGCTGAACGCCGGCCGCGGGGTCTCCGCCAGTCAACACGACGCGAACCTACGGTAGTCGACCCCACCCCCACGGAAAAAGGACCATCTTTGAAGCGTCGGAAAGATCTTGCCGACTCCGCAGTCGGCCCGTCGACCCGTCGGACAGTCGCCCTGTCGGCCCGTCGGGGAGTCGGCCCGTCGGCCAGTCGGCGAGCCGGCCAGGGACGGGGGGGGGGTCGGATAGGTAAGCCTGTTGGGGATCCCGAAACCGTGTGGTGACAGACCGTGCGGCAACCTCGCAACCCCAAGAGACCTCACCGCACGGCCCGTCACAGCACGTTTTGGGGACCCCGGAGGCCCCAGTCGCCCGGGACATCCTCAGAGAACGACGCAAGTCCCAAAACCGAGCGGTGACCCCGAATCCCCACCGACACCACACTGTGTGGCTGAAGGGGTCCTGGGACACACAAACAAATAGACACAAATAACAGGACTCCCCATACTTTCCCATATTTTTGGGGTGTTTGTCAGCCCCCCACTTCCCACCTTTCCGCATAGTTTCCTGGGGGTCGACGATTCATTTTGTCTGTGTGGTTTTGTTCCTTCTTGAGTGGTCCTGAGCGTCCCAGCGAAATCTGTCCAACTGCCTGGGGGGGGGGGGGCCGCGGCGCCCGGTGCCCGAGAGGCCGCCGAGCGCGGGGCCCGCATCCACGTGCCGTGCTTGTGCAGGC